GCTCTGTGGACTTTATCATACCTCGATCCTAGTTAATAACAAATGCTAAAGCAGCTAAAAGGAATGGAGCTTTTCCCTCTGTCCTTTCACAATAGTTTGCTATCACCTGTTTTAGTAACACTTCTAAATTACCCCTCAAAGCTTTTGTTGCTCTTCCTAATAAATCTTAACAGTACAAAAGAGCTGAAACACCTGTAGTCCGTATGTCTTTACCAATACTAATGTGTGATATTTTACTACAAAATGACTTGCCATTCCTCAGTGTCTCACATACTTGGAGCAGGAGTAGCACCACAGTGATTGACAATGGAAAACTGAAATAATTCTGTGTAAGGCTGCCTATACCTGTTTATACACATGCAAACACTTGTGCTGCAAGCAAGGCTATGCAGATGCCTTGCAATATTTCTCAGGTTTTGTAGCTGGTTCCAGCTCTTGGTTCAGGCAATATCCTGTGATCCTCATGGCATTTCCTGGTGGCGGCAGAAATTGCCAGAACCTTGCTAAAACTATCTTTGGTTGGAAGTTGCTCCTAGAAAGTCTATTTGTGAAATCAGAAACAGGTTTATTTGGAGCAGGTGGAATTAATGTTGGTTTGTGTGAATAGTTACTGAAACTGTTTTTAAATGGTTTGGTAGACTTAAAGATGGACTGACAACAGTGTACTTTTACCAGTAACATTGGTGCGTGTTTTTCCATTGATCTTTTGGCATTCATATTTGCAAAGCAGGATTCAGCACTACAAACCTTTCCTCTAAATTCCGCAGCAGCAGACTTGTAGTTTTCATAAATTGCACTGAATGTCTCTGAGTTTGTTGGGGTGAACAGCAGGATGTGATTTTCAACAGGGACATCAAAAATCTTCACAGATGTCTGGGAAACAAAAGACTCGACATCTGTTCCACTCTTTGTAAGCAGAACAGTGAATCAGAGGCTCAGAGTATCAGTATCATTCAGTTCTGCTATTGCAAATTTTACTTTTAAGACTGAGTTCCCAATCATTTCCATAACCATTGGCTTTTTTTCATTGTTTTAAAGAAGATAGTGAGAAGAATCAGCAGCTGCTGAGTGCTTTCTCTGTTCCAGGAAAAACCTCATTGTTATTCATAGATTTTTACAGTCAGAAGGGACTGTTATGATCTTCTAGTCTGACCTCCTGGATAACACACACTGAAGAATTAATGCTAAAGATGTGCTGAAAGCAAAAGGCAGCGTTACCCAAGGAGGCCCAACTGCAGCAGCTGTAGGAGCTAGACCTGGTTGGGGTACTTCCTTCATTTCTGGGTGGCATCAGCAGCTTACGTCTCCTTCCTTGCACAAAGCTGCCCTTTTTCTCATGTCACCCCATGATTAAAGGCAATGGGCTGTCCCCCAGGCAAGCAGGTATTTCCATGTCTTTCCCTTCCTACCTGCACTACCAACAGTTATTGCTGGTTTCTTTCTTCCTTGTCTTGGCCCAGAGGACCTGGTTGCTGCATGGGAGTGGAAGGGTTGGAGCCAGGATAGGGACTGACCTTCCAACCTCCCACCCTACCTAGTTTGCTGCAGAAGCAGCCCAGGCCTTTGTGTTGGCTCCACAGGAGGGAGGTGTTTGCAAGTTCAGGCAAGTTCACTGTTTGGCCAGCCATTCCCCGTCTCCTCTAAGAAACAGCATCTTGCCAGAGGGAAGCATCCTTTGGCCTGGATTAGACCAAGAGCTGCCTGTTGGGTTCTGCTGGTGTTTCTAGATGTGTTCAGGGTTGGCCTAGTCAAACGCTAAGGAGCAGAATAGCTCCCTAGGTCTCTTTCTGCATGGATTCCTGTCTTTTCTGTCTTTCTCCTGTGACTTTTGTTAATACAGTGAAATACACGTACCTCAAGATCATACTCAGTGACCAAATCCAAGGTAAAGGTTTTGATTAGCCTCGTTAGATCCAGTTTGTTCTGTCTGCCATCTTCAAGCACTTCATTATTGTCCCTTGGACAAATAGTGAACTTTATGAGGTTGTTGGCCTTATCAACTACAGGAGCAAAGAGACTGTCTTTACTCTAAAATGTTGTTCTCAGTTTTGCTATTTTATGATCCTCAGTAACTGAAATTACATAACTTGTAAAATGAATGTCACAGCTAGATTACAGAACAAGATTATAGCTAAAATTCAAGGTAGAGCTGACAGTTTTAATTTGCTCAGTAATCTTAACATACTGAAAGATCTTTTCTATATACACGCTGTCTGTGACATACTCTCACTCAGGACATCCTTGGTCTGACTACTTCATAGCCTAAATGTTGGTGCTACTTCTGTGTAGTTTTGTTCTTGTTGTTGGCCACTTCTTCTGTTGTGGATTGGAAGAAAAGAAGATTCCTGGCCAAAAGCAACACAAAGGAAAAGAACTGAACGTCTGCAAAACTCACTGAACCTGGCAGCACATGTTGATTAGAATGGTGGGTTGGAAACTAAAACCATTTTATCCAGATACTTAACTATAAATTAGGAACCTGAATGTAGGCAGCCAGATTGAAAATATCAGTTGTCCAAAGGTTACTGTTTGCCTCCTGCTTGTCTCTCTTGTCTGTAAATGCAATATTTTTTGTGTTAAGCTGTTTGAATTTCAGCTAGGAAATTATTCAACCTGAAAAATTCCCAAACTGCCTTTCCGTAGCCCAAAGCTGCCACGGCAGCTCACTGCACCTTGCCTGCTAGACTTGCATTCCTACCTTCTTAAACACAAGAGTGTTCTTTTGGATGCCGTAGTTAGCACAGATGTCCTCGCTGGCTGTCATCCCGAAAGGCATCTCTGGCACTTCTCTTGCCGTCTCACAGAAGAGTTCCACACTGTCATTGTGAAGTTCCTAGTCCCAGAAAGAGTATTTAAGACTGTGTCCTGTATCCTGCTAGGATGTGTAGGAGTGAGAGCTACAGGTGAGACAGGCCCCTAAAGGCTTGTGAGGTGGAGAAGAGAGTGTAATTGTAAAGTGGGTATAGCTTGCCATGATTACCTCCAAGGGGAGATCTTCACAATAGGGGAGATCCTAGGAGTGCTGTGACACCACTAGTGTGTTCGCTTTTCCAGCTAGTGTTGGCTGGGCTGGGTCAATATGGATGGTGTATGGTCCCCTGTGTCTTTCCTGCGCTAATGTCATCTGCCCTGCGCTCCCCTGGCATTTCCACACTCTGCAAAGACTTCTGCAGATGGGGAAGGATCATGCCAACAGCTGCTCCCCTGCCGCAGCTCGTCTGCAGAGCCAGCAGGATGTGATGGATTAGAGAGGAGGGCTCTCCGCTTGAAAGAGGACCTGACTGCTGTGTTTGGTGCTTTGACTGAGTGCTCTTCAAGGCAGGGACCTTGACTCCTACATCTGTCAAATAGTCACTGTGCTGTCCACCCTCAAATTAATAGTAAATAAGCATGATGAAAGGCAACAGCGCTTCTAGATGTGATTTAATCAGACAAGTATTTCATGCTAGATGAATAGTAATTTATATGTTGAGACCTCCCAACACATCCTGGCACTCACATTTGTGAGCAATCTGTGACTAATAGAAGGCCAAATACAGCTCTTGATTTACTTGGACGCTATTTTGTTGGCTTCCACCCATTAAATTTCTGACATGCCCTAGCTCATGCTCATCTATTGTCATTTCAGCCCCCGAGTGAAGTCACAGAGTCCAGTCAAACACTTCTGCAGGCAATATCTGCTATCAGCATGGTTCAGGGGACTCTCCAGCATCACTGCGATAGCAAGGGCTTCTCAATCTGGCCCAGCACTGGAAAACTGCCTTCCTTCATAAATGGCTGCAAGCAGATTGCTGCAAAGCAAAATTCTGGGTGCTCTGAGCATTTTCACAGTTTGTCCTATTACGCTGTATGTGTTCACCAGCTCTGTTACTATGGGGCATTTTGGTAATGAATCCTGTTTTCCACATCCATAAAACTTGGACTATCTGCTGTAGCCAGCACATTTGGGACCTTATCAGTTCACGTATGAGTCCAGACACTGTGCTTTTAACTGAGCAGAGAGATACCAGAATAAAAGTCTCTTTATTTAGAAAGAAATCCTTGATTGAATGTTTCAGATATTAAAGATTTCAAGGACACATTGAAAAAGCAGGAAAAAACTATTCCTAGTTTACTGACTTCTGCATGCCTTGACAGCTGAAATTTATTTTGCACTATTCCTTTGACTATTGTTCTGTATCATTCAGCCCGGGAAACTAGTAGGAATTTGCTTGAGAAAAGACTACATGAGTTGAATCATATACAGTGTAATATTTTATGAATTCTTATCCATGCAGATTTCTTAGCTGGCAGGAGCTAAAAAACACAGTTAGCATGATATTCATGGAGCTGTGCTCTTCCCCCCTAAGTTTCACTGAAGATGTTTAAATCATCAGATGGAAAGATGAAGAAAAGGCACTCCAGTATATTAGACAATATTTACTGCTTTTTTTTATGGACTTAAGCAGGAAGGGAACATTCCTTCACCAGAACAGCCTGCAACTATTCATGTCTATGATTTTACACCATGTTTGAATGGAAATGCAGTGATCAGGTAACCCTAGATTTTTAGATCAGTTACAACTCTGGGCAGGGATTACAACTTTTTGTATTTGGAGACTCCAGTAGCAGTATAACCCACACCAGCAATGGGTTAAGTCTCTCCAAAGAAAAGGATGGACTTAAGTGAGGATAGGTAGGTCAATAGTTCTGCCCTCTTCCCACCAGCCACCAAATTTGGGATGGTTTGGCAGAAGCCTTTTCTCTGAGGATACAGGAAAGTCTGCTGTGCCCAGGGCTGTGCAAACAAGCTTGTAGCATCATGCTCTCAGAAGCTGCTCTCGGAGTGGTAGGTCTCTGTGCCTGGGTACCTATTCAGGAAAGGTGCTATGGTGTGAAATGTTCTTATCTCTGCCTGGGCTGCTTATCTAGAAGTATGAAAACGTAGATAGAAACAATTAAATAAAAAAAAAAAGCAGAGAAAACTGAGGGCCTGGGTTTTTCAGGCGAGTTCTAGGTCTTTTGGATGTGTGGGATTTGGTGGCGATGGCAAGTGGTATATCCCAAAGTCGGAACAGAAACCAGCCTTTTGAGTTTTCCAGTGAATTACCTTAAAAAAAGCCAATCACTGCCAAATTGTCAGCACGTATGATGGCTTCAGCCTGATCAGTAGAGTTGATTAAAACAGTGCTAGGTCCTGTTCTTCTTTTCACCCATGTAATAAAGGCTGAGGCCTGTCTGACTCCTGTGGAAGGAAAAGAGAGTTAAAATGAGCATCAAAATGAATGACAGAAACTTGTGTGCAATCAAGATAGAGGCAGTGGAGGTGCAGAAGGATGCTGAATACAAATGGACTTGGGCTCCTTAGGACTGAGGTCAAAGCTGATTCAAAGTGGGCTTGGGGCATCCAAATTCAACCTCAGGTTCTAGTCACCATTTAAACTGTTGCTGACTCTAGAAGATCAACGATGGATCGGTACTGTATTTTCTGAGACCTCTGCAAATAGCTGTGTGTCCAATTAACTGCTTAATCACAGGTGGAGAATAGAGATGAGGAAATTCAGACAAGTAAAAAACCTGTTCTGCGAGATTTCATGTGTCCCAAAACTATGGTAAGCTATAAAGAGGTATCGACCTGACGTTTAATCCAAAATGACTTCAAACCAATTGCAGATTTTATTGAACTGTCTGTTCAATTAAATTAGGTGTCAAAATTGTTCCTTTGGTGCTGCAGAAGGGATCTGATAGGCACAGAGACAAGTTAAAATTCCTGTGTGGTGCTGCAGCTTCGCTTTTTAGTTTAGACATGAGAAACAAAGCTGAAGTGTCAAAGTTGTCCTTTAATTCTGGATTGTTCCATCTTTTGAGTTCCAAGCTACTGCTATCAGTTTTACTGAGATTACAGTCAGTCTGTTTGTTTGGTAAATTCTTTTCAAGCTTTCAGGAGTTTTAGGAATCTTGAGTCTCTTTAAAAAATACATTTTCTAGCTATCATGTTTTCAGAGGAATTGGAGCCACAAATTGAGGCTCAGGAGATGAAAATCTCAAGCTGTAAAGTAGGCCTTTCATCTCCGAGTATGACATCCTTGTTGGACCAGAGCAAGAGTCCAGCAAAGGGTTAATGAAAATTTTATATGAAAAAGAAAAATCTGTATGTTGTGAAGTGTTAGAGTCAAGATGTACAGTACAAGTGGATTACCAAAGATGCAAGTCCTGGTACTGTGCATTTTAGCAATATGACAAGATCAAAATTGAGTCACACCATTTTACTGCCATCAAGTCATTTTGCAGCAGCCTGCACTGCAACTAGTTTAAAATACTATTTTTTTTTTTAAGGTCAAGCAAGCAGGCATCTGCTCTGGAGTGTATAGGCTGCAGAGCAAAGCACAGAGCAGTATCTAGTGGCCACATAGTGCTTGACTTCTGCTGTCTAAATTAAGAATTGAGCTCTTGCAGCTTATATCAGCAATATAACCCCTCAGCATATTTTTCATGTGGTTAATTCTCTCTATTGGGTTGCTTTAAACAGCCTGTGTAGCTTGTTTCTACTGGCCAAATTCTGGCCTTGGAGTTGTAAATGATGATTTTACAAAGCCTAGGATTTGGCTTTCATGCTATGTCCATTGCCAGGACAACCATTCAAAACTTCCCTCTTCCATAAAATATTTGAGTTAATTTCTTGATTTAAGCGAGGTCTGCAGTTTCTTTTGTGGTATGAAGTATGCCAAGTTCTGTATGAGAAGTCATTGGGTGGTCGCTGCACATTTTCAGTTGCCAATTCTCAATGGTTTAAAAGTCATATGCGATAGGTGAGATTTTACTAGTTGTTGTACATAAGCATTTACCAGTCAACAAAATGTAATTTAAGTCACTATCGGTGGTATATGTGCTCTGAACAGTTGGTGCTCTCTTGTACAAATCACAGAGCAGAAGCCAGTTTCCTAACTTCTTGCATCTTGCTAAGAAGTGTGTCAAATAGCAGCTCTCTGCTGAAGGGTGACTGTGCATGTTGTGTTATGATACTCTATTCACCGGTTCTCACAAGCATACCTGTCACATCGGTTTACCAGTTTAAAATAGGTTTTCTTGTCAATGCTATAGATTTAATCAGAGACTGAAGGTAGGTGCTTTCACTCTCATGTATGAGCACCTCTAATAAAAGTTCGGTATGGCAAATCACGCTTTCAGTGGCATTTGTGCAGAAGCTGCTGTTTGCACAAGTCTAGATGACAGGAACTTGTTAAGAAATTCAATAGCAAGGAAGAGCAAGTTACTAAAAATACTGAAGATCAGCTTTCAGCAGCAGCAGCCACAGGGGGCTCAGCAGTTGAAGAAGTCAGAGCACTCGCTTGTGTACAGACTCAGGAGGCAAACTTTAGGTTCCTTTTTTTGTTGGTTGTATTAAACTTGTGACTCCACTGTATCTGCTTAGAGTACACTAACAGATGCTTTGCCAAGTCATGCAATTTTTGTTAACTCTGTAATAGTTCATCATTTTAGGCAAAAAAATATTTAAATATCTTTCTTGTACATACATTCAGTGAAGGAAAAACTCTAATAAGGCCTGGATTTCTCATGATTGCTCAAGTCAGTCCTGTTCCAATATTGTTGTCTTTGCTTAATGACTTTCCATCAAAGATTTCAAATTATTCCATGTTTTTTGTGAGCCACATAGGAACTCCCTCTGATGGCTAAATTGCAAAATTCTTTTCCTTGGTTTAGGAAGTATACCGTATACTTAGTGTGAACTTAGTGAATTCACAATTCATTGTTAGATGCACAGAGTATTGCTCCGGCCTACTTCTGTGGGCATGCTACCCGTGGGAATTGCAGTGAACTAGAAGAAGTGCAAATGGCGCAGGTTTGGGACCAAATTCTTGTCTGGCGTAACTCATTTATTTATGTTTATTTTAGTAAATGGGAGTAAGTTGTCTTGTTGGGGTGATTCTCTGTACTCGGTGGAATTACACCAGCAATGAATTCGGCTGCGTGAACTAAACATGCAGTTCAGTTATACACTTGGAAGATGAATTCAAATCCAGGTTCTTGTATTGGCACAGAGGTAATTGTATGTTTAAAACCATGGCAAAAACAGTTTGCTACCTTGCATATTCTTTATCTGAGCATCTACATTTTTCTTCTCAGCAGCATAATAGATCGGTACATCCTTTCTTTACATGTTAACCTTGGTTTCACACATTTATGTGTGTTCGTGTGTGTGTATATATGTGTGTGTATACATACATTCAGATCTATACTTACACAAGCACACACACATATGCGCCAAAGCACAAATCTAACAAAGTAACTGTCTTTTTTTCTTTCACAAAATTACAAATGTACTTCTCTGCAGCCTACCTGGTGAAGACGTTGCCCAACATAATTACAACCAAAAAGTGAATGAACATTTCTGTATGAGTTGTAATAAATGAAAGATAAAACCACTAATCTAACTCAGTGCTGAGTTACATTTCTTGCATTATTCATCATTATCCTTGCTCTGAATCCCAGCCATCAATCATTTTCTTCCACCTAACTGCTACAGCGAGTGGTGTGAAGAGTAGCATTAAATAGTGTTATTTTCTCAAAATATTAGCCTGATAGGCCTTCCAAATTCTTCCACATATAAACCCATCTTGGCTTAGGCTCACAGAAATCCCGTCACTGGAACAGCTGCTCCAGCTGCTAACATGCCAAAGCGGGTTCTTGTTAGTAGAACAAAACTTAGTGTCTGTTCAGGGGGCCCTCAGATACAATGGTGATGAATAGAAGGTACTTCTCTAAATAAAGTAAATGAGTCTTACAGCATCAGTCAAAAGCAAATTGTGTTATAATTGCCTATAAAATTACTGTTTCATCAAATAAATTTATTTTGATTTTACAGAGATTTGATCCTAACTTCAATTTCCTTTTTCCTAATTACAAAAATAGTCTTACGAACCTTTTCCCCAACAAATTTGTGATGTGTTATCTCCCAGCACAAAAAAAATCAGAGTAGTATCTCCAGTTGTATCTCGATATGCTCTAGACATAACTGCAGAAAACCACGGTATCTATTAGAAGTTCTGACCTGCCAACATAAGAAATAGCATGTCTACCCTATGAAAATACTGCTGCTTCTAGGGACAGTGTGTCTTGAGCCTTTGTGAACATCCTTGCTTAAAATGATTGCAAAGATATGTGGACTTTTAAATAAAACATGGGGTACCTGCTATGCAATTTAAGAGTGCTGATACACAATGACTGCACGTGGCAGGGTTAGCCCAGAACAGTTAGACCGAGTTATAGGGCTTTCCAAGAGGAAGGCTGCATTGCTCTGGACAGAGTGCTGTTGGAATAAGGAGCAGGAAGCCACACAGTAATTAGGGATCCAGCACCTTCTAGCTAATTCCAAGGCAATGTTTTACACCAGAGGCAATTTCAGCATAATGACTTTTGCCTAATAACCTAAGGTTGCATAGCTTTTTTTTTACCATAACTGGGAATTTGGAAGATCAAATGCTTATTGCACAGTGAAAAGGGACTCTCTCGGGAAAGGGCAGAAGAAATTGTTGAAGTCCAGACACAGAAGCTGAAGCCACTTAGAGGCTTCCCGAATATACAGGGAATAATAAGCTTTATGGACATTAGACATGTATGTAGATTGTCGGGGGGTGGGGGTTAGGATCCATTTTTCTCTGAAATATTTCAATTCCAAACAGATATTTTAAGAATGATCTCTTATCACTGAATGACCTGAATAAGCAGAGTTGCAGGTAATTAGTAATGTAACTAGCATGCTTAGATAATGAGAGTTGGTAGAGTTGTTAGCTCCTGGCTGGAGCTGGGAAAAGTGCAAGACTCCATCCTGCAAAAAATAATCACTGCACTCGGAGACCAGGAGAAATCCGAGTACCGTTAACCTGATAACTGCGAGACAGAAGTTCAGTGAGTGAACAGCCTTACTCATCAGACAGATAAAAACTGTTTCCTTGACTACCAAGAAAGTATGTGGAAACATCCATCATGCACCTTTCCCCTGGTTTCCTGAGTGATTAGACTCCTCTTCAGCTTTCCATCAATTCCTTTTCATTCCGCTCATTCTCTGTTTGCCTCCCAGGTGCTTTATTTTTTCAAGTCACTTGAGTGTTGCAGGAAATCATCACTACTTTTATTTGGAGCCTTTTCTTGAGTTTTGTTTCGCTTCCTCTGTTTTAGATTTTTATTGACACCGATCGCTTCAGGCATTGGGGTGAGGAAGCA